TCATGAGCTTCGGGAGCGTTATCTTCGGCTTGATCCTGGGGTGCTGGGGGCTGCTGCTCGCGCTGTGGTCCGTGCGCCGCCTCCTGGGCTCTACGGCCCCTTGGGGTGTGTTTCTTGTGGTCCCGAGGATACCGAGATTCCTGGTCCTCCTGGGCCGATCTGGAAGTGTGGGCTGACCGACTCGGTGGGCGTGCCAAGCGATCGCACGTCTGCCACGCGACGAGCGCTCCTTGCACGCCGGCGTTTTGCCGGAGCGGGGGGGGGGGGGGGGGGGGGGGGGGGGGGGGGGGGGGGGGGGGCGGGGGCGGGGGGGGGGGGGGGCCCAATTGCCGCTCCATCGTGCACAGCATGACGGTCACGAACGAGTGCATCTTCTGCCGTCAGAGATCCCGCACGCGACGTGTAGCACAGTACCGCGCAGTCGCCGCGGTGCCACGCATCGGCGCCCTCCGCGTGCCACGCCGTTCGCGCGCGAGGTTGTCGAGCCTGAGAGTCTGGTGTGCCCCTTCTCGTCCATTACCGTTGCCTCGATGCGGGGCGGTCGTGATGTGGCTTGCATCCGCTCAAAGACTGAGGCTTTCGAGAATCGGGATCAGTTGCGCGCTCGCCTCCGTCAGCGCTGCAGCACTCGGCACCCGCGCTACTTTCTTCATGCGCCGTCCGAAGGCGGAGGACCTCGAGGCAGAAGGGGGGCGCAGCCGCTCGAACTGGCGCGGAGGCGGCGCAGGTTCTCGACGCGGCCGCTCTGGGTCAGCGGCTGCCCCCCGCAGTCGTGGAGGACGGCGGGGGCGCCGCGCGGCCGCGGCCCGGGGCGGCAGGCCCCCCGCCCCGCGCCAGCCAGGGGCGGGAGGAGCCGCGGCGGGCGTGGGCAAGGGCGAGGACATCAGGATGGCCGTCGGCAAAGCGCACGGCCTGCCAGAGGACGCCCTCGCGAAGCAGCCGCAGATGTCGCAGAGCATGGTCGCGAAAATCATGCCTTGCTGGTGAAACGGTATTTTGGGCTGCGCGTTCATGACGAGGCAGCTGCTCTCAGCGGCGTGCCAGAATTTGATCCTGGACGGGAGCTCGGACATTGTGGGTGGGGCGTTCAAGGCAGGCCGAGCGCATGCGACGCGGGCGGCGGTCATGCGAGAGGAGTGGGAGGTGGGCGATGCCAAGTCTCTCCCAGTTGCTGCGATGGGACCAGCACCTGTGCAGGTGTTCCTGGCCGCTGCCGACGCGATCAGGAAGGCAGGGGAGAGGGTCGGGGCTCGCAACGCGGCGCTGCGGGGGCAACGGCGTTCGTATATCGACCAGGTGACCAGCATGGCCGACATGGGTCTGTTGGTGAGAGGATTCCGAATCAGCTCCTGCTTCAAGGAAGGGAATGCGAAGCTGGTCCTCGCGCTGGCGGACGTAGAGCTCGCGAAGATCCTCACCGATTGCCCGGCGCAGCTCGGCGGCGCGCTCAAGGCAGGGGTAGCGCCGAGGTCCAACGCCGAGCGGATTTTGCAGATGGCGACCGGCCACTGGGAGGACGCGGTCTAGACGGTGCAGCGGGTGCCAGAAAGCAAATCCAGGAGATGGCCTCCCTGGTTGACGTCGCCATGTTTCTAGATTCTAGAAGTCCGGGGATGGCCTCCCAGGCTCCAAGTCCGCACAGATGAGAGAGTCGAGCAGGGCCCACATCCCACGCCTACCTCACGAGCGGGCACGGACGAATGGAGTGGGTCATTTTTCGTGGAATGTCGGGGTGGACAGTGTACGGGCTGGCGGATACCTTGCTGGCGCTCTTGGTTTTTGTGCGAATGTGGCTGGTGCCCCTGGCGAGGGTCTGCTCCACGCATCGACTTCGATTTCTTGTTGTTCGAATGTGGCTGATGCCCCTGGAGAGGGTATGCTCCACACATCGTCTCCGATTTCGAAACAGAATGTGGCTGATACCCCTGGGCGGGGCATGCTCCACACAGGCACCGCACCTCCTGCTACAGCGGCACGCTCTGAGAGGGAGGCGTGGTCCAAGGCACCGTCTTGTGCCAGGCACCGTCTTGTGCCGCCGCCGCCCCCGCCCCTCGTCGACCTCCGCCTCCTCCCCCAGCGCAAGCCAGACAGTACAGCTTTAAGGAGTTAGTCAGACTGGCCACGGGCGGTCCCAGGTAGCTTTGCTGTGCGTCGGCCCTCCAGGGGCCGTGGACCAGGGGACCGATGGCACTAATTCACTCTCACACTCTGCCTTGGCCGAGAGATCAATCAATCGGAGCTCCCGCCGTGGGGGCCGAATCTCGTGGTATTGTGCGGCGCTCGGTAGGTCACGCAATTCGAAATTTGTCGTTCGAGTTGCTGTCTGTCGGAGTTTTGTTCGACTCGGCCCGTTACCGCTTCGCCGCCGCGCCGCCTCCTCTTCCTCCTCCCCTCCTCCACCTCCTCCTCCTCCTCCTCCTCCTCCTCCTCTTTGTCCTCCTTCGCCTCCTCCTCCTCTTCCCCTCCTCCTCCTCCTCCTCCTCCTTCTCCTCCTCTTCCTCCTCCTCCCCCTCCTCCTCCTCCTCCTCCTCCTCCTCGAAAAGCTCTGGGAAGAACAGCTCGTGCAGACCACAGAAAGTTCTTAGCACATTCCCTGGTGGGCCTATGGGCAGGCCAAAACGCTTCGCCACTGCTCGATAACTACGTTGGGTCGGCGGCACGCCGGGGGGGGGAGAGCCGTGGAGAACGCCGAAGGGCACGAACTAGGGGGCCGCGGCTTCTCGCCTCGATGTGGCGTCCAGCAGCTGCGCCTCGTGAAGGGCTTTCCGGAGGAGGAGGAGGAGGAGGAGGAGGAGGAGGAGGAGGAGGAGGAGGAGGAGGAGAGGAGGAGGAGGAGGAGGAGGAGGAGGAGGAAGAGGAGGAGGAGGAGGAGGAGGAGGAGGAGGAGGAGGAGGAGGAGGAGAGGGCGCCCACAGAGACGCCCAGGGCGCTCTCAAGAGGAGCCGCGCTCCTTGGCAGGCGGAGGGCGGCGACAGCCTCTGGTGGCAGAGCGTCGGGCGCAACAAGCGCAGCGTCGGGCTCGACCTGCGGCGGGAGGAGGGCCGCGCGCTGCTCGCGAGGCTCGCCCGGAAGGCGGACGTCCTCACCTCGGGCAGTGCCAAGGAGGGGCCACCGCTAGGGGAAGGAGGAGTGGCCCCTCCAGCGCCCCCTCCCCCCCGAGGTGCCGCCACCGTGTCACCTCCGCGCTCTGACCGCCACTGTGGGGGAGGGTGTGGATGTCTCGGGTTCGCGCTGCGACGCATGATGCGTAGCCGATGCATCGGCGGTGCACTGGTGATGCGGCGCGATCCTCCGACCCCATCTACTCGGATCCCATTTTGGAGGCCTCTCGAAGGAGGTCACCATTATTGTCACGTTCTTCGCTGCCGCAAACCAATATTTGGCGGCGGTGCCGCCTCAAAATATTTCGTTTGCGAAACATTGAAATTTGTGATCTGTATTTTGGCGCCGCCGCCTTTGGTGAACCACTAGGTGCCCTCGGTAACCATCGAGTTTTGACAAGGGGCTAGCATCATAATCGCTCGCCAGCGAAACACCTGGCTGCATTGTTTAATTTGGCGGTGGCGTCGTAAACAGCTGAACCGCATCACAAACTCAGCGAAACGTGGAGGAAGACGGAGTCGGGGGATCACCATGTGTCTCCCGAGGCTCCAGGCTCCAGGCTCGGAGCTCGAGGAGGTTCCTCGCTTCGGGTGGCCGCCTGTTGGAGGGCTCCCCGGGGCGCTCTGGGCGGCCCCTCTCCCGGAAGGGCTGGCGCCCTCCCCGAGGAAGTGGCGACGCGCCCAGCGGTGACCCCCCCCCTTGCGCTGCCCGGCTGTCGAGAACTTCAAGCCCGGGACCCTGGAGAAGTGGGGCATGTCCGAGGCGGAGGGTTCTCTCGTGGCACCACCGGCTTGCCAGCGGTAGGCCCCAGACAGTAAGCCCTGGCGCTGTTCAGCGGCGGTCGAGGGGGAGAGGCGAGGAGGAGAAGGCCTGCTCAGAAGGCGGCGGGACTTCTCAGAAGCCCTCGCGCCTTCTGATAAGTTGTTGTGTCTTCGGGGGAAGCTCAGAATGCTTCTCAGAAGGCCAGGGAACTTCCGAGCCTTCTGAGAAGGCCCGCCCCGTGTAATTTTCCCCCTCGCTCGCCGCAGACAAACAGTAAGCCATGGCGTTGTGAATGCGTAAGCTGTGTGGTGCGCGCGCGTCTCTGCGGTCGTCTTTCGAATAGCAAGCACGCATCCACGGGACCCCCCCTGAGGCGACAATGGGCGGCGACGGGGGGGCAACAAGCTGGAACGTGGCGCATCCTGGGAATACCCATCCAATGCCTTAGAAACGCAAGCAAGAGCTCCCAAGTGCAAGATTTGCGTGGGGACAGCTGCGCAACCATAAACTGTCGGAGGTCCGCTCGGATGTCTTGGATCTGTGCTGGAACCCCCAGCGGCGCCTCCGGCGCCGCCCCTGGCGCGCTCCGCGCGCCTGGGAGGGAGGTCCAGCGCAAATCCGAGAAATCCGCGCGGACATCCGAAAGTCTGTACCAATGCAGTGTTTTTTCGGCCACGCACAAAAGGGTGTAGGGGGAGGGGAGAAGGCTTCTTAGACGCACCCCTGCTTCTGAGAAGCCCTCCCCCCTCCCCCTGCCCTCTCGTGCGCGCCGCCAAGCTTTGTTCCTCTGATCCACAACCACCACCTGAGGGGTCGATCGTTGGGGGCCTCTGCAGGCGCGGATAGGGATACAGTCGGGAGGAGAAGGAGGAGGAGGAGGAGGAGGACGAGGCGGAGGAGGAGGAGGAGGAGGCGGAGGAGGAGGAGGAAGAGGGGGAGGGGAAAAGGGAGGGGGAGCAGGAGGAGGAGGAGGAGGAGGAGGAGGAGGAGGAGCTGGAGCTGGAGCTGGAGGAGGAGGAGGAGGAGCAGGAGGAGGAGGAGGAGCAGGAGCAGGAGCAGGAGGAGGAGGAGGAGGTGGAGGAGGAGGAGGAGGAGGAGGAGGAGGAGGAGGAGGAGAGGGAGGGGGAGATCCACATCTGCCGACCGCCGAGGTCCCCGAAGATCGATCCTCCAGCCTGCGGTTGTGGATAAACCCTCGCCTCGGAGCGTCGGTCCCGACGTCCTCCGCGAGGGCAACCCGCGGCTGGTGGTGGCCAGGCTGTCTGGCTACGGGCAGACAGGCCCCAAGTCGAAGCTCCCAGGCTTTGCGTCCGTGTGCGAGGGCGTGGGCGGCTTCAGGTACCTCGGCGTCGTTCGACCTATCCCCATCCCCACCAGGCCATGGCACCTCAGTCCCACCCTCCCGCAAACCCCCAGCGGGGGACAGGCCCCTTGAAACCCGAGGGGAGCAGCCCCTCTATCCCCACCAAGATATCTGTGAAGCGACGCTCAGGTACGTCAACGGCTTCCCGGGCATGCCGCCAGTCCGGCCGAACCTCTCGATCGGCGACACGCTCGCAGCCATGAACGCCACGATCGGGATTCTGCTGGCACTCGTCCGGCGAGGGTGGTCGCCAGCCAGCAGCAGCCCTGCCGGACAAGATGTCGACGTGTCCATCGCAGAGAGCGTCTTCGGCCTGCTGGAGTCGTGCGTGCCCGAGTTCGACAGGCTCGGGGTCGTGCGGGAGCCCTCGGGCTCGTCGCTTACAGGCATCGTCCCGACAGGCACGTATCCCTGCAGGGACGGGGCGCACGTGATCATCTCGATGGTCCTCAGGGCCTGTGTGAGCCCACTGTGTGTGCTGTCCCGTGTTGGCCCTCCTTGTGCCACCTGCATCGCATCGAAGGGCCTCCGTGGACAAGCACACGCTCGCGCTAGCACGCGTTCTGAGGATCGTCGATCATTGGGGCGAACGGGGACTCCCTGTTCAAGCGCCTGATGCTGGAGATGGGGCGAGCAGACCTGGCCGAGGACCCGCGCTTTGCGGACAACGCGGGCCGCGTGGCTCACCAGCAGGCACTGGACGCCGCCATCCGAGGGAGGAAACGCTGCACAAGCGTAAGCCCTCGGAGCTCCGCGCGGATTTCTCTCGGATCTGCGCGGGGGCTCCCCTCCCCGGCGCGCGGAGGGCGCCAGGGGGCGGCGCCAGGGGCGCCGCCAGGGGGATCCCAGCGGCGATCCAGAAGAACTCCGCGCGGAGCTCCGAGTGTTTACGCTTGCGCCGCCTTTTTGCTTCCTCGAGCCGTCGCGGAGTGGACCTCGGGCCTCGCCGCGGCGGAGGCGCAGGCCCGCTGCGACGCGGCCGCCGTCCCCTGCGGCCCCATCTACTCGGTCCGGGACCTCGTCCAGGACGCGCACTTCCAGGCGCGCGGCTGCTTCGAGGAGGTGGCAACGGAGAAATCCCTGGGCATGTTCGGAAACGTCGGGAGGACCGCGCGGATGTCTCGCATCGGCGCTAGGCCCCCCTGGCGGCGCCTCTGGTGCCGCCCCTGGCGCGCGCAGCGCGCCAGGGAGGGGGGGTCCAGCGCAGATCCCAGAAGTCCGCGCGGACCTTTGACAGTTTGTGTTCATGGTGATCGTTTTCTTATTCGTCGTTTTGCCGGTCGGCGCGGACCCTCGCACTCACCCCCCGCTCCCCCGCCCCAGGAGTAGGTCTTGGCTGTTTTCGGCGCCTGTTTCGAGCAGGCGGAGTCTGCCCCATGGGGCGCACGGTTGCAAACACTGAGCCGGACCCCTCCCCTCCCCCCATGCCGCCCAATGTCGAAACGCCGGGTCAGAATACGCCCGCACGCAGCCTGTCTTCTCGCTCTGAGGTGGCCACGCGGGACGGGCGGCCGCTGAAGGTGCCAGCCAGCCTCGGGGTGCGCCAGCTGAGACCAGCCACCGCCGATGCTTGCCCGTCGGTCGTTGAGAGGTGGGTATTTTGCACTCCCAGATCCCAATCTACTTCAAGCGCCTTCCCCCTTCAAGAATCGATATACGTTTGCTGTGTTTTGTTATTCTGTTGGCGGCCCCGGACCCAATCTATTTGTTCCGTCTTCCTACTTGTTGTTTTTACCTACTTCTTCCGACCGACGTGTATTTTGGCGGGTCCCGCGGGCCCATCCTGAGACCCAGGCGTCGTAGTTGTGTTCGCTCAGCAGCGGGCAGATCCGGCTCGAAAGATGCTGCAGAGAAAGGGAGCCAAGGGCACGGGCAGATGTTGTCGTCGTCATCGTTGTCGTTGTCGTCGTCGTTGTTGTTGCTGTTGTGAATGTTGTTGTGTTTGTTTGCTGTTGCCGTTGTTGTTGGTGTTGTTATTATTGTTGCTGTTGTTGTGGTTGTTGATGTTATAGTGGTTGCTATTGCTCTTCTAGATGTTGTGTTGTTTGGGTTGTTGGTGTTGCTGCGTTTGTTGTTGCTGCTGCTAGTATTGTTGCTTCTGTTGTTGTTTTTTTCGTTGTTGCTGTTGTTCCCCATATCCTAAGATGGTGTTCTTGTTACTACTTTGACGCCTCCTACTCATTATTCCTCTTCTTCTCCTCCTCCTCCTCCTCATACCTAGACTTACTCATACACATACTTACTCATATACAGACGTACTCATACTCAGAGCGGATCATATTAACTCATACCCAGACCTATTCATATTCAGACTTACTCGTACTCATACTTACTTACTCATGCTGAGACTCACGCATGCCCAGATTTACTCATACTCAGACCTTCTCGTTGTCTGACTTATTCAACGCACAGCAGATTGTGAGGATGTCTCAGGCGGGGCGCTGGTTTCAGCACCCCGAAGGGGAGTCGCCGAGGGGTATGTCACGGTCCCGTTCGCGGCCGTTTGGTGAGGATGTCTCAAGCAGTTTGCCTGTTTTCTGTCTCAGCATCCTTCGTTTGGAGGGCAGATTGTGAGGATGTCTCAGGCGGGGCGATGGTTGCAGCACCCCTGAGGGGAGCCGCCGAGGGGTATGACACGGTCCCATATGGTCCATACGGCTAGACGCTCATTTAAATATCCCACATACAATATTACTATTTAAAAAGGATGCACCTATGGGGAGCTCCACGCAGTGAGTAATTTTTGCTGTTGTTGTTTGGTTTGTTGTTGGTCTTGGTCTTGTCCTGGTTGCTGTTGTTGCTGTGCTGAGTTCTCAACTCCACAGAATAATTGTTGTTGATCTCCTCCTCCGCTAACCATTGCAGTTTGAAGTAAAGTGTTTCTGCCGGGCCCAGTGGCACCAAACTGGGTACGTGGCCCCCGAGTTACAAAAACAACCGCTCCCGCCTGATGCTCCCTCACCATTCATTCCCAAGTCGCGCTCTCGCGCGGGACTTCATCACAAGTTATTCAGCAAGCGCGCCCTCGACATTCAGGAGCCACGCTCCCCCTGATCGATATTTTGACGATTTGATTGGGAATCTTACTATCGCCCGGAACTGCCTCGCGATTCATGCAGGACGCACGCTTCAGCAAGCCGCTTGCTCGACCTGGCCTCCTGGCCCCGCCTTCCCGACTCGCCTGTCAGGCTCTAAGTTACCAACCCGATCTGCCCGACTGGTTCTGCCAGGTGTCTTCTGCTCCTAGCTCCCCTCCTGCTACTCTCTCTCGTGCCCCATCTTCCTCCCTCACTTGTGTCCCTTCCTTCCATCCGTCCTCTCTTCCCCTGCCTTGGGGGCTGCGCTAAATGCACGTGGCAGGTGACGAAGATATGCTCCCAAGTGGGTACGATCGAAGACGAAGAGGGCGGGTACCGAGGGTTTGGGATATACGCGTTGAGTGGCATTCTTAAGGATCTGAATCGTCAATCATCGTAATTATTGTTGATCCCCCCTGCCTGGTGACCTGTGTATTTGTTCAATTAAAGCGTTTCTCCCGGGTCACGCACCTTGTTTCTCACAAGTGAGCGGGAGGTGTCACCACACTGCGCCCCTGGCCCCCGGTTTACAACAACAAGTGTTCCCGCCTCATACCTCCTCACAATTTATTCCCAAGTCGCGCTCTCGCGCGGGACGTCCTCACAATTGATGCAGGAATCGCGCTCTCGCGTGGGACTTTCCGCAATTTATTCAAACGCCGCGCCCTCGACACTCAGGAATCACGCTCTCCCTCTGGATTTCCTTGCGATTCATGTGGGGATAGTCGAGACTGCCTCGCGATTCATGCAGGACGCACGCTTCAGCAACCCGCCTGCTCGACCTGGCCGTCTGGGCACGCCTTACCGACTCGCTTGTTAGGATCTGCCCGTCCGATCTGCCCGACTGGTTCTGCCAGGTGTCTTCTGCTCCTAGCTCCTCTCCTGCTGCTCCCTCTCGTGCTCCATCCTCCTCCCTCCCCCCTGTCCCTTCCTTCCATCCGTCCTCTCTTCCCCTGCCTTAGGGGCTGCGCTAAATACACGCTGCAGGTGTGAAAGATATATCCCTGATAGGGGTACGATCGCAGACGAAGAGGGCGGGTACCGAGGGATCGGCGAGAAGGTACGAGCCACCAGTCTTAAAAGTATTGTTGTTGTTGGTGTTGCTGTGCTTGTTTGTTTGGTTGTTTGGTTGCGTGCTTGTTTGTTTGTTTGTTTGTTTGTTTGTTGTTGTTGTTGTTGATGTTGGTGTTGGTGTGGTTGTTATTGTTAGTGTTGTCAGTGAGTTCCCACTTCCAAAGAATGATGGTTGCTGATCCCCCCACCCCAGTAACCGTTGCACGTTTCGCTTAAAGTGCCCCTCCCAGGGCTCGCGCCTTGTTTTCTACAAGGGAAAGTCGGGTGCCACGAAGCTGTGCCCCTGGCCCCCAGGCTACAACAACAACGGCTCCCGTCTAACACTTCTTCACACTGTATTCCGCTCTCGCGCGGGACGCCCCCACAATTGATGCAGGAATCGCGCTCTCGTGTGGGACTCCCTCGCAATTTACTCAGACGCCGCGCCCTCGACGCTCGCGATCCATGCAGGACGCACGCTTCAGCAACCCGCCTGCTCGACCTGGGCGCCTGGGCCCGCCTTCCGACCCGCCTGTCAGGGTCTGCCCGTCCGATCTGCCCGTCTGGTTCTGCCAGGTTTCTTCTGCTCCTAGCTCCCCTCCTGCTGCTCCCTCTCGTGCTTCATCCTCCTCCCTCCCCCCTGTCCCTTCCTCCCATCCGTCCTCTCTTCCCCTGCCTTAGGGGCTGCACGAAATACACGTGGCTGGTAATACAAATGTGCCCCTAAGTGGGTATCATCGGAGACGAAGAGGGCGGGTATCGAGGGTTTGGCATACACGTGTTGGATGGCACGCGAGCAGACAAGAGGGAGCAGTTTTAACATGATTGCTGTTGTTGGTGAACCCTCACTACTGTGAAATATGTATTGTTGATCCCTCCCCTCCGGCAACATTTGTGTTTTCAACTGAAGTGCCCCTCCCAGGGCTCGCACTCTGTTTTTGTGACGGGGAAAGTCTTCCTCCTCGAACTGCGTCCCAGGGCCCCTGGTTTACAACAACAGCGACTCCCGCCTGATAATTCCTCGCAATGTATCGGGGAATCGCGCTCTCGCTAGGGACTTTCTTGCAATGTATCCAAGAATCGCGCTCTTGCCTGTGGCTTCCTCGTAATTGATTCAGGCGCCACGCCTTCGCCATTCAGGAATCGCGCTCTCGCCTGGGGCTTCCTCAGCATTTTCTTTAGAATCGCGCTCTCGCCCGAGACTTCCTGGCGAATTATGCAGGACTCACGCATTCGCGTAACAAACATGTTTTTTCAATTGAAGTGCCCCTCCTGGGACTCGCTGTGTTTTTACATGGAAAAGTATTCCTGCTCAAACTGTGCTCCTGGCCCCCGGTTTACGACAACAGCAACAATCATTTTGAGATTGTTCGCTCTTACTGACACGCGTGTCTTGCATTCCGTACACCCCAACCCCCGATACCCGCCCACTTCGTCCGTGATTGCACCCCCTTATGCGAGAAGTGCGAGGTCGAGCGAGAGCGCCGTTCCTGAATTCGGGGGCCTCCTTGGCCAGGGGCTCTCGGAGTAACTCGTGAGGAAGTATCGAGCAGGAGCCCTTGTCGTCGTGGCTGGGCCTCCGCCAACTTGATTGAATTGCGAGGACGCCTCGACCGAGAGCGCCGTCCCTCAGTCCGAGGGCCTCTACTGCCGGGGTGTCTCGGGGTAAACTGTGAGGAAGTGTATCGAGCGGGAGACGCTGTCGTCGTGGCTGGGCCCCGGAGGCCCCACTTTCCGGCCCAAGCCAGCGCTCGTGCGGGAGCCTCGTTTTCAGAGAAAATGTAGCCGGCGTCAAGGCGAGAGTGCGCGGAACCGTTTGTTGGAGACCAGCATCAATGATTTTTCAGAAAGTGAATCTTCAACAACGGCTCCCGCCTGAGACTTTCTTGCAATGTGTCGAAGACTTGAGCTCTCGCCTCATCCTTCTTCGTCGCGATGCATTCAATCGTCGCGTTTTCGACAGCAGGAGCCGCCTCCTCGACGCTCAGGAATCACGCTTTCGCTTTGGATCCCCTCGCGAGATTTATTACGGAATCGCGCTGTCGCTCGAGACTTCCGCGCGATCATTCAGGACGCACGCTTCAGCAACCAGCCTGCTCGACCTGGCCGCCTGGGCCGGCATTCCCGACCCGCCTGGTAGGGTCTACCCGCCCGATCTGCGCGTCTGGTTCTGCCGGGTGTTTTCAGCTCTTCGCTCCCCTCCTGCTTCTCTCTCTCGTGCTCCATTCTCCTCTCTCCCCCCTTTCCCTTCCTCCCATCCGTTCTCTTCCCTAGCCTTGTGCGCTGGACGAAATACACGGTGCAGGTAGGAGAGATATACCCCCAAGGGGGTACGATCGAAGACGAAGCGGGTGGGTATCGAAGGTTTGGGATATACGTGTTGAATGGCACGCAAGCAGA